AAGCTCTAGATTACTCTTTTATATAGGTAAAGGTACTAAAAGTATTGCTGTTCGTAGAAAAGGAACACAGTCCAATAAAATACTCTTTGTCTGATAGTGAGCTTGTTCGATGTTAATAAAGCTCTGGCCTTGGTTATGACTTTATCCTTCGTTGAGTAAGAGATCAGTAAATAAATGACAATGAATAGTAAATTCTAAAAAATAATTTCTTTAGAAGGAAATCCTAGCTCTCGAAAATATCTTACAGCTTTCTGTGTGTAAAACCACATTCTTTTGCAGTGTTGATAGTGGAAAAGAAAAAATAGAATTGTCTGTAAAATATGTACAATGTATACACTGCCTGCGAAGGATTGCAAAATTTGATTTGAAAACTTTAAAAAGAACTCTTGGAGCTGAGGAAACTCTGAAACAGAGACATGTAATCTCAACCGTTTGATCTCAAATAAAATGTAAATATTATTTATGATGATCTTGACGAATATGAATAGAAAAAAGGCATCTTTTAGATCCATTAATGATAGAAAATCCTCTCTATGTATTATACTGATGGAAGCAAAGCATAAAGTTTCTTATGTAAAATGTCCATAACTTATAAATATCTAAATTTTTCAGGTTTATAACAGGATGATAATCGTCAGTCTTTTTCTGTAACTAAAAAGATATTAGAAATAAACTGATTGGTATGAAAACCAGGGAATACCTGGACATAAAGCCTTCTTACTTAACATTAAATTAATCAACAAACTCCATCTGCTCTGAAATATACAGAGGTGGTTAGGCAAGCCAAGTTGAAAGGGTGGTTGAAGAAAACTCAAACCAGTACCCGCTAACTGTATTAAGACTCCAGTTATCTGATGTCATGATAGACCAACTGCCTAAAAAGTATTCGAATTCTGGCTGGCTACAAAAGTATTACCTACAGGTGTTACTGTAGCTGGGTTGATGCTGCCCTGAAAACGGAGGCCTGTAAAAGGATTGCTGCTTAGTACTCGACTCAACATGATTATCAAATAATACGTATAATTGATTGACTGATCTATATAAAGTCGAATCGACTGGCCGATTGGAAGAACAGAGTGGGTGATATCAACGACTTAAATAGCGTTTAAGGGAATTCCTAAGTTTTAAAAGACAATTTCAAATGGGTATTACCCTGGATCACTTACTGAATCAGCAATAGAATTTTTTGTATCTTAATTTTTTGACAGCAATGACAATAAGGGTGAAACACCAAAGCCTATTATCTTCTGTATATCCTGAATAGCCGCATCTTGTGACTGTGCTTGACGTAGTGTCCAGTGTCCAGGGAGGTGCAACATACGGCCACATGCATTTGTAATTTTTCTTTTTAAATAGGGTCTTTAACAACCAGTTAATCTATCTCAACATGCTTCATGGTAACCATATTAACTAGTTTATAGATTAACGATCGAATCATTTACTGCATTGTCACCCTGAAAAATGGGGGAAAAAACAAAATCACTGAACCCCTGGTCAGGACTGAAATCATTATACTGTTGATTCAGGGTCAAAAATTATGAACCATTAGGTTCCATAGATTGGTCGTCAATGACCCCGTCTATAAGCCCAGTCGGAGAAGAACAGTAGAAGTTAAACCTCATTTCATTTCATTTTATTTCTCATCAATGACATTATTATTAACATTGTTGTCTGTAAACAAAATCGTTAAAAATATAATATTTAATTGATTTTAAAATCATCCCTTCTTACATAAGTGTTATAAATTGGTAGGCTACTGTGTCATTTATTTCATTTTCATTTGACTATATAGTCATATATAAAGACTATTATTACTAAAACTACCGGTATAGGACTTAGATGCATAACAAGCCTATATATCCATTTGTTGGCGGTAGAAGTAAAAGCATAATTATTTCCATTTATTCATTTATTTCATTTTCATTTGAACTATATAGTCATATATAAAGACTATTATTACTAAAACTACCGGTATAGGACTTAGATGTATAACACAGGCCTATATATCCATTTGTCGGCGGTAGAAGTAAAAACCAAATTATTTCCATTAAAATATACACTCCGAACAGAGGACACGTGGTCCCGTAGATAGAAAAAAATGATTATCAACACCAAGCGACACGATTATTACCGACATGAAAATGTCAAAATGACTGCGATCAACAGACAGATTGAGGTAGAGTGAAATTAATGGTGAAACAAAAGAATCCACAGTATCCGTAATGGCAATACCACTCGGCCTAAATTTATCTACCTGGTCGGGACATTACGAATCTTGTTTTAGTCACAAGGTTTAGAAGGCACAATACCTTTCTTTTTAAAAATACGATTTATTACTTGTCCCTATTTAGCCGCCTCGTTACCGGTGTAAACATCCGGTTGAGATATATATAATTAAATGGCGGCTTTTCTTTTACGGATCGTATCTACATCAACCAAGAGGTCTAACCTTCATCAAGGATGAGAATGTCCGGGGCTAAGTTTATAGAAACAGACTCTCCGGACAAAACCTCTCAAAATCATCGCTTGGAGATTTACTAAATTCAACATGGAATAAAGCAATAAACGGGCGTGAAACAACGCCACAAAAAATATATGGACCGGCACAGCGTACCGGTCGCGATGACGTAAAAAAAGGAATTGAATCTACGATCCAACAAAATCGCAAAGTAATAGTATACGATATAATATGACTATGAGTAGTGCACCACTACTACTACTAATAGTCATGGTCTAGATCAAAAAGGAAAAAGACAACTAGAGCCGAGCCTTACCTCTTATTTATAGTCAGGCGTATGTTGACACAGTGCTGCACGTGCAATTGTGCTATTTTTAGACTTTGAATGTTGAGTTAGTATACATATTTATTCAGATCAATGAGAAATATGCAATATAAATCGGAGATGCCCGAAGGGCATATAATGGAATATTATCCCTGTTGTGGCTGTCAGTAAGATCTGAGCAATTTTCATGTAGTAATATAGTACACTTTCCTAGATATCACCTACCTGTTTACTTGTGTTAAAATTGAGTCTATATTAAATCTATTATGTTTTTTTCTGTACAAGGTAGGATATATCAAGGTAGTGGACCCTATATATCAAGGTTGTGGACCCTATAGAGGTCACAATTTTTATCCGATTTTGTTGAAACTTGAAATGTAAGTTTATAACCCAAAGATCTTGGTTCCTTTCGATATTCGCGCATATCGGACTGTAATTTCCTGAATTATGGCCCCTGATTGTAAGAAAAATCGCGTTTTTAGCTTGTGGACCCTATAGGTCATAATTTTTATCCGATTTAAAAAACCGTATTATTATATCACCGTTACACCCTAAGGACGACTGAGTTTGAATTTCGTGAAAATCGGCCCAAAATTGACAGACAAAATGGCCGCCGTTCGTTCTGGAATAGCATAGGAATATGTTATATCAAGGTTGTGGACCCTATAGAGGTCACAATTTTTATCCGATTTTGTTGAAACTTGAAATATAAGTTTATAACCCAAAGATCTTGGTTCCTGTCGATATTCGCACATTTTGGACCGTAACTTCCTGAATTATGGCCCCTGATTGTACGAAAAATTGCGTTTTTAGCTTGTGGATCCTATAGAGGTCATAATTTTTATCCGATTTAAAAAAACCTATTATTATATCACCGTTACACCCTGAGGACGACTGAGTTCGAATTTCGTGAAAACCGGCCCAAAATTGACAGACAAATTGGCTGCCGTTCATTCAGTTCCTTTCGATATTTGCGCATATCAAATTGTAATTTCCTGAATTATGGCCCTTGATTGTAGGAAAAATCACTTTCTTGTTAGCTTGTTCTCTATCCATCTCTCGAAAATGTGGGCGTATCCTGCCTGGCAGCCGCTGGTTATCCAATTTTGTTGAAACTTGAAATGTATGCTTATAACCCAAAGATCTCGGTTCCTTTCGATATTCGTGCATATCGGAACGTAACTTCCTGAATTATGGCCCCTGATTGTACGAAAAATCGCGTTTTTAGCTTGTGGGCCCTATAGAGGTCATAATTTTTATCCGATTTAAAAAAACATATTATTATATCACCGTTACACCCTAAGGACGACTGAATTCGAATTTCGTGAAAATTGGCCAAAAAATGACAGACAAAATGGACGCCGGTCGTTCTCAAATAACGTAAAATTATGGTATATCAAGGTTGTGGACCCTACAGAGGTCTCATTTTTTATCCGATTTTGTTCAAACTTGAAATGTAAGTTTATAACACAAAGATCTCGGTTCCTTTCAATATTCGCGCATATCGGACAGTAACTATGGCCCCTGATTGTGTTAATATATCACCGCTACTCCCTAAGGACGGCTGAGTTCGAATTTCGTAAAAATCGGCCTAAAACTGACAGACAAAATGGCCGCCCTTCGTTCTCAAATGGCGTAAAATTAAGGTATATCAAGGTTGTGTACCCTATAGAGGTCACAATTTTTATCCGATTTTGTTGAAACTTGAAATGTAAGTTTATAACCCAAAGATCTCGGTTCCTTTCGATATTCGCGCATATCGGACTGTAACTTCCTGAATTATGGCCCCTGATTGTACGCAAAAACACATTTTTGGGCTTGTGGACCCTATATAGAGGTCATAATTTTTATCCGATTTAAAAAAAACGTGTTAATATATCACCGCTACTCCCTAATGACGGCTGAGTTCGAATTTCAAATTTTTACCGCTAGGTTCGATCTGGATTTTAGTCGAGAAAGTTCATCAGTATATTCCAGCATTTTTCCCCCTAGTCAGGGCTGAAGGACTAGGTGCCTGGCAAGAGACAACGTATAGTCGTTTGGGTGACAATAGTTCCAATACTTATTAAGAGTAGGCCGTAGTGCCGCTGTCCGGACAAAGTTTCCCTCATAACAAGCACACTGTATGGCATATGCCCGTCCTCATTATCCCGGTCGGGCCAAAACAGTAGGATGTTAAACCCCATTTCAGTTGATTTCTCTATTTATATATTATAGAAGAAGGAGGTGGGTCAATGGGAATAATAATAGGAGCCGTAGTAGGCGTTGTTGCCGTAGCAGGTGCTGGAGTTGGTGGATTCTTCTTACTCAAGATGTTGAAAAAGGTAACTAACAGTCTAAACAAAAACCCAAGCAGCCAAATTTCTTAGATTTATGTGAAAATAGAGGATTGAATTTTGCTGATCTTTTCAAAAGAGCCGAACCCTAACGAAACCCATCGACCACTCACCGAAGATTGAATTTTTTTTAATCAACCATGTAGGAAAGTAAATTTAATATTGCATCAAAGTTAAAGATGCATTGTGCTAGAGCTAAATCTCCTATTGCAGACCTTTTTTATTACTTCAGATGTTATATTAACTATTATTTATACATCGATTCACATGACAAGCCTATAATCACCTCTGTAGACGATCGAATGGCCGAGATTTAAAAATTTAAATATAAAAATAGATTAGTCTCGATTGTGAAATACCGTTGCTATGATAGTAAACAATCTACTCTACATGACTTCGCTTTTTTTTAATTATTTAGCATTAGAAATGTTGTATCTCCATTGAGTAAAGATAAATAACCCGTTCACCAATAAAATGACGATATTTCGCCATGTGATATTTTCTCATATAATTATTGGTCGAAAATATTAACTTGAAAATATCGTACATATCTGGAAAAAATTTGTCTGCTATCGCCTGTTTTCAATGAAAAATTAGTGTTACAGTACGGGCATCGCGATGGTTTGACGGAACACAGTATTTCGGTGTTTTCTATCGTGGAATTCCCTGTTTATATACCGTGGGAATATCGAGTAACACAATAGCATTGCCTCAGTGTTGAAAATACGGTATAGACTTATAAGGGTTTTAATTATATACTATTCAAAAAAAGTAGGGGATATTTGATTTTTAAGTGTTATTAAAGTCACCTAATGAAACTGACGAAGAAACAAATGACAAAATGAAATGAAGTTCACATTCATCGATTTATTCCAAATGATCGTTAGACTAAGTAAGGCACAGACTGACCATTATAAGGGTAAAATGATACCCGGGGTCAAACAGCAAAGTTACCACAGCATCACAACCAAGTCAGTAACGGGTAAATCCTCCTCTGTTTGCCAAACAAGCATTGATCCGACGTGGCATACTCCTAATGAGACGTCTAAGGTCATTTTGGTCCAGATTGTCCCATTCCTGTTGCAACGCAGCAGCAAGTTCTTGGACATTGGCAGGACGTTGTTGACGTTGACGTAACCTCTGTCCAAGCATGTCCCAGACATGCTCGATGGGGGGGAGGTCGGGACTCAGTGCTGGCCAAGGTAATGTGGTGATGTTCTGTTGTTGGAGGTAACCTGTAACGATCCTGGCCCTGTGACATCTTGCGTTGTCATCCTGGAAGATGAAACGGCGGCCATGACGTCGTGCGAACGGCACAACATGGACTGCCAAGATATTGTCCCGGTAGTACTGGCCTGTAACACGCCCTGCAACAACATGTAAAGCCGTTCTTCCAGCAACAGTGATGCCTCCCCACACCATAACAGAACCACCCCCAAATCGATCATGTCTGATGACGTTAACGTCTTGGAAGCGCTCGTTTCGACGACGCCACACCCTCCTACGTCTTGACTCATCTGAAAACATCACATTGCTCCAGCGTCGATTATCCCAGTGTTGACGATCCCTACACCAACGACGTCTTGCCTGAATGTGATGATCTCTCAAACAAGGGATCACGCGAGGACGTCGGGCGCGAAGGTGACCCCTATGCAGTCGATTCCGAATCGTCTGGCCACTCACTCTCACACCAGTGTCTGTTTGAAGACGAGCGCTGATCTGATTTGCTGTGATGACACGATTTCTCAAGGCCAAGGTACGGATAAATCGATCCTGGGCTTGAGTTGTCGCCCTTGGTCGACCTGAGCGTGGTCTGTCCTGTACAGATTGTGTATCACGGTATCTGGACCATAGCCTGCTTATGACAGACTGAGAAACATTCATCGTCCGCGCCACAACCGCCTGTGTTGTGCCGATCTGTAGCATGCCAAGGGCACGTAACCTTTCATTTTGGGTAAGCCGACGCATATCAAAATTTGTTTTCTGGTCACTAAAACAATTAAACTGATGTTTCCACCCTGGAATTCAATGCCACAATGACTGTAACATTCAAAGTCAGAGTCGTGCAAATCTTGGGTTGGACCCCCATGATGATCCCAAGCATCACCTGCATTCCATGCGGTAGCTATTGGTGCGTTTGGGCGTCACATGTAACTGAAAGTGTTTCTTCTGTTAGGTTCTATAGTGACTTTTTTCGTAGTCATTTGCATATTTTAGTATTATGCCCCCAAAATCAAATATCCCCTACTTTTTTTGAATAGTATATTATGGCTAAACAAGTGGTTCTGATCGTTTATTTTACTTATAAGAAGTTTGTAAAATGAATTTAACTAAAACTGCTTAAGCATTTCCCTAAATTTACATCGCTTACAATCGAACGATCTTCATTGCAGAACTTTTAACTTATAATGTAGTCATGTTCATGCAGTTTGGTTTTAATAACATAATTGCCCCGTGATAATCCCACGTAGGGCATTTTTCCGAGACGTATTGTCTTTCTATTGTTGGATTACCCCACGCCTCCAGGCTCCAACAACTCACGGTACGAGAAAGCAGGTAGTGTCCACCTTACAACGGGTTGAATTGATTTATGGTTTATTTTATAATCTATAAGACAGTTTAGATCATAATACGTTACAATTCGCATTTTCGGATTCCGAGTTGATTCCTATACAGAATTCCGGGTGAAATGAAAGACGTTTGGACCACTGCTGCCGAACCGATTTTATAAAACTGAAAGTTAATGTTCTTACTACGATTTTTTTTTCTTTGCGTGTTCTCTGTTTTGGATGTGCATTATTTTTATATTTGTCTGTGATAATTATTGCAAATATAGTAGGATTATTATTAAGCTTATTTAACTTCTACTGTGCGAGTAAGGTAAGCACTTTCTGCATATTGCAGAAATTTTTAATAACAGTCTAGTTCATATGTAAGCGTTCAAAAACATGAGCCGAAAATGTAACGTTTCCTTATATTTGGAGTTGTTTAGATCCAAAGATCTTGATTTCTTTCTATATTGGCACGTATCGGACTACAACTTCCTGAATTATGGGGGTTGGGGTAGGGGTGGGTGGGTTATGGATGGCCGAATGGTTAGCACGTGCACGCTGTATCATACGTTCTGTCATTGAGTCAACTGGCGTGGTTTTGATTCTCCGGGTGTACATGACAATGAGTAGGGTTGCCTGTCCAACCTCGTGGGTTTTCTCCGGGTCTTCCGGTTTCCACCCACTACTGTAGTACTTACTAATGAAATTGAACTATGTGTTAGTCCCGAAATGACCTAGTTTGTGTCACAGACGTTAAACTGTACGAAAAATCACGTTTTTATCCGGTTTTGATAAAATATATGATTATATCCCAAAGATCTCGGTGCCTTTTCGATAATGACACTTATCGGGCCATAACTTTTTAGATTATTACCCATGAGTGTACGAAATATCACTTTTCATATTTGTTTGTAGACAGTTTAGATGTCACATTTTTTATCCGATTTTGACGAAACTTGAAATATTTGTTTTTATGCCAATGATCTCGTTTCCTCTCGATATACTGGCATGTATTGGACCGTAACTTTGTGGATTATGGCCCCTGATTGTGCCAAAAATCGCGTTTTTAGATTGTGGGCCCTCTAGTGCTCACAATTTGTATATATTGTTTTAATATGAAAAAGAAGTTTAATAAAAGCCTATTTCACTGCAAAATTAATAATAATAATAATCAATTTGTATAGCGCTGAGTGCGCCAGCTAACAGCTGCTTCGCGGCGCTCTTCATAATTAAAATAAATACAATGTAAAACAAATAGTTCTAAAACATTAAAAAGTCAACATGTTCATAGTTTAAAAGCTATTTAAAAAGTTCGGTTTTTAAGATTTTTTTTAAAAACAGCAACATTAGTAGAGTCTAGTTTGAAACAATGTTGTTTTTGTTCAGATTGATATGGTTTTTTTTCTGTTTCCACCGTGCTTATTTCGCACAAAAATTCTCATTGCATAATTTTGAGTGACTTAAAGATTAAAGCTATTTTGAAAAGTCGGCACATGTCAGAACCATGCGAACTCTCAGAAATAAGTAAATTGGTGTAAAAGGTTACCCCTTATTTAAATTTGAATAAATATGGCGGGTAAAATGATTCCGAATTTTGTTTTCTGGGACTTTATAGCTCTGATTGAGAGAAATGAGCATTTTTTTTTTATACGCCCACATTTTCATGTGGACGTATATTGTCGTCGCCCCTGTCCGTCCGTATGTCTGGACGTCCATCCGTCCACAATTGTTTGTGGACTCTCTACGACTACAGGTCACAATTCTTATCCGATTTTGACGAAACTTGAAATATAGGTTTATCCCCAAAAGATCTCGGCTGCTTTCGATATATTCATGTATTGGATCGAAACTTCATGGATTATGGCCCCTGATTGTACGAAAAATCATGTTTTTATCTTGTGGACCCTATAGAGGTCACAATTTTGAACAGATTTTGATGAAACTTGACATGCATGTTTATAACTCAAAGATCTTGGTTCCTTTCGATATTTGCGCCCATCGGAACGTAACTTCCTCAATTGTGGCCCCTAATTGTCCGAAAAATCGCGTTCTTAGCTTGTGGACTCTATGGAGGTCATAATTTTTATCCGATTAAAAAAAACTGTATTATTATATCACCGTTACACCCTAAGGACGGCAGAGCTCGAATTTCGTGAAAATCGGCCCAAAACTGACAGACAAAATGGCCGCCCTTCGTTCTCAAATAGCCTAAAAATATGGTATATCAAGGTTGTGGACCCTATAGAGGTCACAATTTTTATTTGTAAGTTCCTTTCGATATTTGCTCTTATCGAATTGTAATTTCCTGAATTATGGCCCTTGATTGTAGGAAAAATCACTTTCTTTTTAGCTTGTTCTCTACCCATCTCTCAAAAATGTGGGCGTATCCTGCCTGGCAGCCGCTGGTTACCTTTTCGGAATACTTTTAGGGGTTAT